GCACAAACAGCGCCTAAAGTAACTTTCCAAATTTGTTAATTAACCTCAAGAACAATTTACAGCATGGCCACCAGTATGGCCCTATCGAGGGCAAATGGCAGCTTTATGAGAGACATTAAAGCAGCCAAATTTTCATGCTAACGTTATCGGGTGAGAGACATTGTCCTCCAGTTTTTGAGACAGACTAGACGTAAGATCATCCAAATCCTTTTCTGAATGCCTTCTGACAAATTTATCTACGGTTACATGCCGTCCCAGCCCTCGCTGCACAGCACATAAGCTAATGTAACAATTATAATTATGATAGTGGTCAGACCTACCAGGCCTTTTTAAGACATGAAAATCAGACTAATTCTCTAGTTTCAAACACAATGAGTTCAAGTATGTGATGTAAATGTTAAAAAAAAGGTAACAGAATGAGAGGCATGTTAGGTCTGCGCCAGTCAAACTTCGATTGTTATCTTAACAAGTCCATATTCTTCAGGCATTGTTTGTATTTCTATTGTGCCAGGAGATTTTATTCTTTAGCTCGAGGATTCTCCCTGAATGGGGGAGGGAAATGTTGCTATCACTGTGAAAAAGAAACATTTCTTTCTGACATATTAAGCATTAAGCGGATTATGTGAAGGCATGGCATATTGCAGAAGGAGATGTTCTTAATATAGCTTTGACCATGACCCTCGAGAAAATTTAAGAGAGTTAAAAAACCTATTGCTTTGACAATCTTTTAATTAAAAAAAAAATCTTCATGTAAAAAGATCAAGGAATTCATCCACTGTTATTTACATAAAATTCAACTTTTCCTGCTTAAAATCATGAATCATTTAATGTCACATCTGCAGGATATCTGAGGCAGATGCCATTAATCCAAGTAATTTTGCAAATTCCAATTTCATTTGGATTAAAACCTACAACTAAGTCAGCGAATAGTATATTCTGTACATGCGTTAAGGCTGGTGACTACTAAAGTCTCTTGGGTAGATAAACTAAGCACAGATTAGCCAGGTCTAAGTATATGTCCTCATCTAGGGGAAAAAAGATATCCTGACATTTCAGTGATGTAGATTTGAATCAGTAGCCATGAAAAATGGTTGAACATTTGTATTACAAAAGAGATACTATGGCACAGTCCCAAAGGTGCATTTCTTATGAATTAATTAGCTGCACAAATTATTTTGATAACAGTTACTGCACTTCTGAGGTGATATGGCTGCTCAGTGATGAGTACTTGATGATCAATGGTAGGCACTAGTAATCCTTCATGCTGAGTGACTTTATTACTATTTAGATTTACAGTATATACATATGTGTTTGTATCTACACTTACGGCTTGATCTTCTTAACCTCCTTTACCTAAGGTCCTCTCTTCACTATAATCTCTTCCTTTGGAGCCCTGTGATATTTGGATAAAAGAAATAAGCAAACAAGGGGTTGGGGTATCCTGCCATGCGACAGGGAGGACTATGCTTGGCTTTTGGCCACACTTGAACCTCTGCATATGCTTTGTTCTCACCTGTCATTCATGCCACCATGGAATACTATAAAGCATTAAGGCCAAGGGGTCTGTATGATCTTGCTGTCTCTGAGGATCCTATAGGATCCTTGCATTTGTTGCGTCCACCTGCAATACATGGTTCCTTTGAATGCATTCCCATTGCTTTACCAACCCTGACTGATTCAGAAGGCTCTGTTTGTAAGCAAACCTCTCCCTCCAGGCATAATCCTTCTGGATTTGTACAGAATGACTTCTTATTTTCACAAAATGAACCTGAACATTGCTATGACGTAAAGAAGCCTGCATGTTCCTAGACTTTTACAACAGATTACAAGTAAGCGTCTTTCACAGAACGCCAAAGAAGGACGGTCTCTGCTGGTCCCACCCAGAACACACAGAGCACCTTTGACTCATGGTGAAGTGCCTAAGACTATTCAGGTTCTTAACGTGGAACATATGCTTAATTGGACCAGACCTAAAAGCCACATGCGATTTTCCAGACGAGGCCCTAAGAAGATGAAATGAAGTACTTGTTGTCACCATGCCACATTCAGTCATCTAAACAGCAGCAACCATTTACAGCAAATAGTCTGCACAGAAAAGTATTCTAAATAACCTCACCAAAATGCAAGAAACCCTATGGAGAGAAGGCCAAAACCTCTAATCCATTTATATGTCTAGTTGGTTTAAATGGCTGCTATTTCATCCTGTTACACCACCAGAAGTTAAGGCTCAGTGTGCTCATCAGACAAGACAGATGATGCCAGCACAAAAACTAAAAAACAGCGTGTTTTTCCATGGAAGCAATGGGTATTTTAGCTGAAATAATTCAATATAAGAACAACGTACAAGAAAGGACAATCATCTACAAGAGATCCTTAGTACTTGGAAATGTTACAACAGGACAGCATTAATTCTTGCATTTCTTTGAAGTTTCTTGACATATTACATCCATACAAAGAGTTCATTGTGATTAAGAAAAATATCCCGATCTTAGTAAAATAAACATGCTTCGAAGTTCCATACTTGAAACTCAAATGCCACATGTGCAATAAAACTAAACTCCATTTAAGGCAAGTAATACATGTCACTTCTAAAATTTCTCAACATTAAATAGCAGTAAGGGCTCCTAAACCCCCAAACTTATCTGAAGAGAAACATCATAGGCACCGTCAAAGAAAACAGAAGCTAATCTAATTGGAATTTCACTTTCCTGATCTGAGGAGAAATCCTGCAGTACCTTCATATGGTATTGAAGCAGCTGACAGAATCCGTTGCTACTAGTCTAGTAAATCACGACAGACTTCCACAGCTGGAGATCAAGCAAGTGATAAACAGAAAGGCACCGATCAAGTTCTCCACCATATTTGTGACCTAATTGTGTTCCTTCTGGGGTGGATAACAGCCGGAGTTAAGAGTGACAGGAGGACTCGGAGGATGTGTATTTTGTCATTTAAAGGCAGGTCCGTGTTCACTCTTAAAGCCAGCCAAACTATAACACTCAAGTCCGTGCTAAGAGGTGACCGCAGCCTGAGCTCAGGACTTCTCTTGGGGGGAAGCATCTGAGCACCAATGGGCACATAAATATCGGCCCAGGATGGCTTGGGGCTGAGCAGTCCCTCGGTAGCTACCCCACTGAGCTGCTTCAAAGAACAAGGTGAATGCTCTGAGTCTGAGCGATAGCTGGAATTATGGTAAGCAGCCTCGACAAGAAAAATGCAGGTACGTGGGGCACTGTGTCCTCTCAAGCCCGCTCTTTACCACCGGGTAAATACAGCCTGTGTTAAAAAAAAAAAGATGTTTTGCTGAGAAAACGTGCCGCATTGTTTGGTATCTTTTTTTCAAAATGCAGCTCTTCAAAAATGGGGGAGGGAAAAAAAAGGCAGCAAGGACCAATCAATCAACCATCAAAACCAGTGGCTACTTCTACTTGTATCTTCTATTGAAAGAGTCTTTTGTACTCACATTTCCTTAATCTATAAATTAGATTAGAAAACAACAATCAAAGGCTCCAGTCAGTGACTCAGACAAAAACAGTCCATTGAAGTCACCGGAGCTGCTGACTTGAATAAGGGCTGCAGATCTGATTGCAAAAAAATTATACTTCCGATACAAAAAAAGAAAACTAAATGTGTAAAAAAACACTGAAAATGAACAAAAATGCACTGAATGCAAGCACAGTTGATATGAACTGGCCTTGACCTCAGCTGACCCAAATTAAACTCCAATTATTGTGGGATTAATTCTTCTGGCACGAAAAACACAGCCTGTCAACAGGAACTGAAAACATCCCATAAATCAAGAAACGTTAAAGCCTAGTTGAGATTATGCATGAGGAGTGAGAGGATTATGATAGGAAACAGTTCTTAGCCTGGTGAACAGCAAACTCCGCTTCCCAGATAAAGGAAATTGCATGTAATGCTCCCATACAGCCTGGGAGAAAATGCTGCAAGCTTTTGCTAGATGAAAAAGATATGAAAGTCAAAATCTGTGGGATGAAGCCTTCCCATGCAAAGCCAACAACTGGTATAGATATCTCTCTGTCTCTCTGTGTGTACGCAGCTGAAATTAACACATTTTCTTTTCTAAGTGGATTGCAGTTTGCCATATTTTTTCATTTATCTGTTTACTGTCAGTAACAGAATGCAATTTTCCACCATCTCTTTTAAGTTCTTGCTATCAGCATACAAGTTTTCAGGCTTTTTGCTTGATACTGTAGGTTATACTGTTGGTGAGGAGCTGAACAAGAGGTAAAATTATTTAAAAAGACAGGAGATAAAGAAACGCATGCAATTTGTTGAAACTTATTGCACATGAAGGAATGC